AAAGTTAGAGATTTTATTTTAGGAAAGTATTTTAGGAATAAAAGGAGAGATCGGTTGTGATCTTCTCTTATGATTCTGTTTCCTATTTTTTAGGAAAGAATTAAGCTAGTTAGTTATTTCCTTTATTAGATATTGTTTATTATATGTAGTTGTAGTCCCGAGTTTTATTCAATAAGAAATTCAGAAATTCTTCAAGTCTTGAACGAACCTATGCCGCAACCAACCATTCCAGGATCATCGAGCTTCGGACTGAGCGTCAAAACATCAAAAAAGACGAGCTATCAGCAGATGAGTATATTCTTAGCTTAGATTTATTGTTGATAAGCTTGCTTCCATTGGTGAACCTGTCTCGCACAATGATCAGAATATTTATCTTCTCAGAGGTATATGGCCACAATACAACTCATTTGCAGACATAATTAATGCTAGGTCGGATCAACCAGACATTGATGAAATTCATAGCCTATTGCTTGCTTGTGATTTGAGACTTCAGAGGCAAAATTCTGTTGAGCAGCTGAACCTTCCTCAACCCTTTCCCAACAACTTAAACCCACAAGCAAACTTGTCTAACTTCCAACCTTTCAAAAAACACCAAGCTCAGAAGCCGTATCAAAATTTCTCTCAAAACCAATTCTCCAGACCTCAAAGCCAATACTCTCGTACACTAAGCCTCAGTTTAGCTCTTACAATCCAAATCAACCATATCTTTTAGGAAAACCCCAATTCTTTGTCCCACAGAACAAATGGTCACCAAGACCCACCTTCTCTACCAATGACACTAGAAACCAGTGCCAAATCTGCCTCAAAATTGGACATACTGCCTCTGAATGTTATCACAGAGCCAACTTGCGCTACCAACCACAGACTAAGAACTTCACCCCTAGCCAAAACCTCACTCAGAACTCAGCTGCATCAGCCTTTCTTGCTTCTTCATTGATGCCTACACCATCTGTTGTAACAGATAGCTCATGGTATATGGACTCAGGTGCCTCACACCAGCCGACCTCAGATGCCTCAAATCTCAGTCCGGTTGCTCCCTTTCATGGAACTGAGCAGGTCATGGTTGGTGATGGTAAGACTATTTGCATTGCAAATATTGGTAACTGTTCACTGCACACACACACTAAACCATTACTACTGAATCCTGTGCTGCACACACCAAAAATTTCAAAAAATCTTATTAGTGTCACCAAATTGTGTTCGGATAACAATGCCATTGTTGAGTTTCATCCAAACTTTTTCTTGGTGAAGGACAAAACTTCGAGGGTCACTCTGCTTCGGGGTCATCTTGAGCAAGGCCTATACAAAATCTCAAGTTCTTTTACTTCTACATCTTCATCTGCCAACTCCATCAGTTTGTCTTCCAAGCCTACATCTCAATCCCCACAACCTTTGGCACAACAGATTGGGACATCCAGCCTCCAAAATTGTGTCTCAAGTTTTGCAGTCTTGTAATAAGAAAGTGTCGAAGTCTCATCTAGATTTCTGTTCATCTCGTCATTTAGCAAAGAGTCACAAATTACCTTTTGTAATTTCAAATTCTAGAGCTTCTAAGCCTTTTGAATTTGTACACTCCAACTTGTGGGGGCCTTCTCCAATTTATTGATGATTTCTTGCAATTTACATGGCTGTACTTAACACAAAAGATGAAACATTTCCTACTTTTACCAAATTTAAAACTATGATTTTAACTCAATTTGATGCTTAGATAAAAACCCTCCAAACTGATTGGGGTGGGGGATATCGGTCTATCTCCACTTCTCTTGCTTCTCATGGTGTCATTCACAAATTAGCTTGTCCATATACACCACAACAAAATGGTCGCGTCGAACGGAAACAGGCATGTCGTTGAAGTCGGTCTCACCTTGTTAGCTAACAATTCTATCCTTCTTACAATGTGGCCTTATTCCTTTCAAGATAACACTTACCTAATTAATAGAATTCCCACTTCTGTCCTCTCAAACAAATCACCTTTTGAAATTCTGTATCACAAACCTCCTAACTATGACTTCCTCAAAACTTTCGGTTGTGCTTGCTACCCCTTTCTCTGTCCTTATAATAACAATTATCTCAAATTCCGATCAGTTGAGTGTGTTTTTATTGGTTACAGCTCTCAACACAAGGGCTATCTCTGCTTACATGTTTCAATCGGACAAGTCTATATATCTCGTCATGTCATTTTCAACGAAACACACTTTCCTTTTGCCAAAGCTACCATTGTTCCTTCCTTAGATTCCTCTCCCTCTTCTTCCCAACCTGTGTCCTCCTTTACAATGCCTGCACCATTGTTCTCCACCACCCACCCCACCACCTCTCCCTCTCCAAAATCCACACCTTTTCCTGCCTCTTCCTCTTGTTCTCCTCCTTCCATTTCACTCCAAAATCCTTCCGTTTCCACTTCCCCTTCTCCACTTTCTGTCACTACTGCACACGGTTCACCTAATGATCACACTTTAGCACCATGTGAACATGTTTCCACTACTTTGCCTTGTGCATCTAATCTTCCCATTGCAGATTCTGTTGCTTCTCCTCCACGCATTTACAGGTTGCTTGATCACACCAACACCCATTCAATGAAGACCATATCTAAAGTTGGAACTTTCAGGCCCAAAGCATTACTTCATACTGCCTCCTTGGAACCTACTTCCGTAAAACAAGCAATGGCCATTCCTTAATGGAAAGCCGCTATGCACACTGAGCTTTCTGCACTTCATGCAAATAATACTTGGTCTCTTGTTCCTGCTTCTTCATCTCATAAAGTAATTGGCTGTAAATGGGTTTATAAACTCACGTTGAAGCTTGATGGGACCATTGAATGTCATAAGGCTAGGTTAGTTGCTAAGGGGTTTCATCAAACACGTGGCCTTGACTACACTGAGACGTTTAGCCCAGTTGTTAAGCCTAATACAGTGCGGCTTGTTATCAGGCTTGCCCTCTCATGGAATTGGCCTATACGACAACTTGACGTTCACAATGCTGTTCTTAATGGTGACCTAAATGAGGAGGTGTTTGTGGAGCAACCCCTAGGGTTTCATGTGCCTTCTTCTGTCCCATTGGTTTGCAAGCTTCATAAGGCGCTATATGGCCTTAAACAATCTCCGCGTGCCTGGCTCACAAAGCTCAGTTCTTGTCTCTTACAATGGGGTTTTCATGCTTTCCAAGGCAGATACATCTTTGTTCTTTCTTCATACTACATCTGTGCATGTCATTATGCTCGTATATGTTGATGACATAATTGTCACGAGCAACAGTTTTGTTTTCTTGGGGTAGCTCATTCACAAACTCAACTCCATCTTCGCTCTTAAATTTCTTAGGCATCGGGGTTCATCGCACTAATCAAGGATTACATCTCAGCCAATCCAAGTACATTACGGATATTCTCATAAGGTCTGAAATGCTTGATTGCAAACCATATCATACCCCTATGTCCTCTGGTCCCACGCTTTCTCTTTACGAAGGACAACTGTTACAACCGAGCCTAGGAGGAATAGATACGAACGGATGTATGCTAGAGGTGCTCGTAACGTTTTTGGTTGGGGAAAGGAGGTGAGTGCGTGAGGAGGCTGCTAAGCTGGCCTAGGCGGTTAGACTCCTAGGAAGTAGTGCCTAGTGAGGAGAGAAGTTAGAAAGGAGAGTGTGAGGGGGGGAGTCGGGTATCATCTTCATTCTGAGAATAATTTTACTATTGTATTGGCTGGCCGAGCTGAGCTCGTGGTTTTCCAACGACGATTAATCAAACGGATCCTTTGGTTGAGGTTCCTTCGGTAATCTAGCTGTGGTGTTGGTCTGTGTGCTTGTGTGTGTGTGTATTTCTGCTGCAGGTATCCGGAGACTCAACAACAACCTCTAGCAGATCCTTTGGACTACCGAAGTATTGTTGGTGCTCTTCAGTACTACACATTAACTCAGCCTGATATTAGTTTCTCGGTTAACAAGGTGTGCCAATTCTTACATTCTCCTACAACAAACCATTGGCAAGCAATAAAACGAATTTTGCACTATCTCAAGGCCACTGTTTCCTACGGACTCACTTTACAAGCATCGCCTGATCTTTCTCTTACATGTTACACTGATGCGGATTGGGCAAGCTGCCCGGATGATAGGCGTAGTACTGGAGGATATTGCATCTTTCTTGGACCCAACTTAGTCTCTTGGTCCTCAACTAAACATCGGGTTGTATCGAGACCTAGAACCGGGTCAGAATACCGAGCAATTGCAAATGGCACCTCTGAACTTTTCTGGCTGGAATCTATTCTAGCAGAGCTTTATGTGTCCTTGCCCTCTCCTCCCATATTGTTTTGTGACAATCTTAGTGCCACTTACCTCGCCACTAATCCCGTTCTTCATGCTCGTACCAAGCACGTTGAAATTGATCATCACTTCATCTGAGACAAGGTAATGCAGCTCTCATTAGTTGTCCAGCATGTTCCTTTAGAATATCAACTAGCTGATGTCCTAACTAAGGCCTTACCGTCACAACGGTTTCTGAATCTGCGTGGCAAGCTCAATCTCCTTCCACGGCCAATGAGCTTGAGGGTTGATGTTAGAACAATTGAGGGTGTATAATTATTTTACTCTGTACAGCATTATAGCCTAGCTTTATTTTCCTCTGATAAGTTAGTTATTCTCTCCAATTGTCATTTGTACTGCGTGTATAGGTTAGTGCTAGCCCTCATTGTATATAAACTATTTTTCTCAGTAAAGATACTTAGTGGACTGAGCATTTCTTCCTCCACCGTTTGCCTCTTCTTCTCTCTGAAAAACCTTCTAAAATCTGATTATAACAGTGTGAAGACACAAAATAAATGGTCATGTTAACTTCTAGTTGAACACTTGTGTGATGCACAAATGCTTATCAGATTATCACTCATCTGAAATCAAGGGACAAAATTCACAACTACCTAACCGTGTGATTAACTGATAACAAAGCAAAAGGATTTTAGTTATGTTGTGTGACATGGGAAGAGAAACTGTTTTCAGATCGCTTTGATTCAACACACCTCCCTCAATTTGCGCTTTGGATATGCTCTCTCGGCCTTGAATATTTCCAAAGCCTCATCAACTCCAGCAGTTTTCCCTTCCCAAATAACATCCTACAAAATGTAACGGTAAAAATGACATCAGAAGCCTGCTTCTCTTCTATTTGGGTACGGTCAACAGTGTGTATCAAATTATCAGCACTTAGCGAAATATGCGCTGCTAAGAAAAGCTTTCTTCTTTTTCATAAGACAACTCAATCAACAACGTCTGTGCACGGAATAAAGTAGGCAATTTAAAGCCGCTACCCACTACTGAAGAAACTACACAATCAGAAAAAGTTCAGTAGAGTGCAAGAACATTTGTCATACAAGGCTGGCCATACATGAGAATTTGCTTCGGGCATGAACATGCAGAAACCACACTCATGGCCTAGAACAGCCAGACCACCAGCTTGTTGGCAGCCAGTGATGTACAAATAATCGGCATCTTGTCGAAATGTGTAAGGCACGACACCCGTCATCATCTTTACAGGGGCAGCTGCAATGATAGCCAAGCCCTTCTCTGGAAGAAGCTCCAAGAAATTTTTCCTCCTCAAAACATATTCTTCAGAACTTGTACCTGGCGTAAGCTCCCCTCCTTTCAATAACTGGAAAGGAAATAGCACCATAGTTACAACAAAACGAATATAAGCAAGGTTTTTTTTTTGTTTAAACATTTTTTCACACATTGGTCGCTTGTCAATCTTTCTATGGCATGTAAACCTCTCTTAGTAAGTAGAACCACCTGTGGATGAGATGCAGGACTTGGTTGTCCAATATCAACAACTTTTATCGTACAATATGTACAACGTTTAACAGCCTGCAAAGCCCGAAAAAAAATATATATTTAAAACAAGACCGGAGTATCGAAATTTGGATGAAGAAATATCCAGGCTTACATAACTTTCGAAAACTGGGAATTTGCAGGAAAAATTTACACATGACATATAAAATCATATTGTGTTAATAATTAGAAATGTATCATGTAATTAAGACTCTTGGGTCACACATGTTTTGAAATGATCAATTGAAACTGTGAAAGACATCGCATCTAAAACTTGTTACACAAAAATTTGCTTCCAACAAAACCCAGTGCTCGGAAGTTAGCTGACCAGAATTTCAACGTAATGAAAAACCAAAGCACTACCAACCTGATATTTAATCCAAAAAATACAATAACCAAAAGCATATAACATAATTTAACCAATTGTATCGTCATTTCTGTGAACTCCTACAGAATTTTAAACTAAATGGATGATAATACACATAACATGAGCTACACTTTACCCAAAAAAGGACTTGATTAGAATATTTAAGAAACACCCACTTCATAACTCAATCCAGAAATCAAAACTACTTAACAGTTAAACCAAAAGTTCAAATGATAAAACTTGTTTGGACTGTTCAACAATATTTCTTAAACTTTTAGTTGACGAGGTACCTGTTTGAGAAAAGAAATTCTCTGCGACAGTTTTCTTACAGGAATCTGCATGTCGAATGATACTCCACGTAATCGTTACAAAGTGTGTTATGGGTAATTTTGTATAAAACCGCTGAACACCAAAAATTTCAGGTGGTTTTAGGGTTTAAGTGTCTGAAAGCGAGCTCGAGAAATTACAGGATCGCCCTTGTTGTTTAAATTAGTGGTTTTGTAATGAAATTAATAGCAATCTCTAATCAGTAATCAGTAATCAGTAATCAGCTCCTGGATTGGGGCCTGCGGTCCATCGACAATCCCAGCTTCAGCTTCTTGGCCGCCTTCAACTCAGTACAGGGGAACGCACGGAACGGTTTAAACGGCAGGCAATAGTGCGTTTTTACACCACTTGAAAATTTTCCATTAAAATGTTTTTTTTTGTTTTTTTTTAATAGTTCAGTTTCTACTCTGAATAACTATATAAATACTGATCAATACATATTGATCGGTTATTTAAGCTCAACAAATTTTTGGATTGATTTTTTTCAGCATAATCCTTCCATTAGGGATACAAACAGGACATCTAAAGGCTAAAGTTATACAATATTATCAAATTTTGGATGGACGTTTGGAATGGGGGTTTGTGTCATGATTCGAATTATGGTTCGTGACTCGTTACAGTATTTTCTCTCACAAAAAACACACGTAAAACGAGAATGATTCTGAATTATGATTCTGAATTATGGTTCTGAATCCATGAACTAAACGTTTTAGTACATTAATGGCTGATATTAGTCTAAGTTTTTTATTAATAAAATACTACTTTTGAATGCTGGGGATAAGAGTTCTAGAGAGAGAAAGTTAGAGAGGTGCTTTGCAACAAGCTTATAGAAATAGTTCTTTAAGGTAGGTGGTCCGGCTATTCGTCGGGCTACCGGCCTCTAAAGTTCGTTGGAGAGATTGCAGACGTCACCGGCATGGGGTTTATGCCGACGGAAGTGTGAATAGTCACCGAAATAGAGTTGTCAAGGGGAAGTAGCTTCTAGTCTTCTACCTTATATCTAAGACGTGTTCGTCGCAGGATTCCGTTGAAATTCCAAGAACTAGATCGTGGAAGGGAAGCGAGGAAGGTGGTCCAGAGCGTGTGGGACCCACGCGCCGCCGTGTCTCTGGTGCTTTGTCCCCGTTTTAGGACCTTTTCTCCAACGCCACTCCTACAGTGTTTCACATGCTTCCGGCGTTAAGGGGCTTGATTTTGCTAGTTTGATTTCTTGGGATCCTTGTAGAGTTTTTTCTATTTTTCTGTTTTCTGTCTTTATTTGTGTTGTAATAACAGTGATGGTGTCCCTATCTACCGATGTTAGGTCTTGGTTAGAGGGTGGTCTCCCAACCGCTCTAAGTTTGAGTTATGTAGTCCATTTTGGGACTGAGATGTGGTTAATCTGGAGTTATTTCGAAGTGGCTGAATCTTGTTATAGTGCCACTAATTGGAGGAGTTATCTGTTATTGGGTAAGGAGTGTGTTTCTATTGTCTAATCATGTAAGTAGCATATGGTTCTTGACTCTGGTTTCGTCTTGTATTTTATCCCTTTATTGGCTTTTTATTAAAGTTGTGCTATTGCCTTTAAAAGAAATACTACTTTTGCCCCTATTCCGTTAAATTTTAATAGTTGTTATCAAAATAAGGATAATTATAATAGTTAAACAAATTCAGGGGGTTAGTTGCCAAAATTAAAAGTTTTGAGGACAATTTGCTAAACCATAATAAGTCCAGAGGATAAATATGCTAAAAACCCTTAATAACAAATATTAGACTTACTTTCAATATGCATATATATATATATATATATTGACAATATTTATTTACACCCTAAGATTTTATTAAGGGCACCCCCAACATATTTAAAAATTAATTTTTTTTAAAATTAATATCGCATATAGTTTCATAAGTACCTTTATATGCACCTCATACTTTTTCTTATTTCATTCTAATTAATATCTCATATAGTTTGTTAGAAAAATTTGCATCAAAAAATGGTGCCGCTTATTTCATTAATTCCTAAAAATCATATATTAATTTTAGAATGAAAAACATAAATAAAAATGTAAATTTTTGACCCATCCCGGACCCTGAGCTGACCCCTGGGCGCCCCACTATGCAGGCCTGGGGCTTTTGAACAGTGTTTTACTTTTTTGTCATTTTTTGAGGCCATTTTTTTTCTGGCACGCCTAGAAAAATGTAAGGATCGTGTCTGTAAAACTTAATTATTTTTTGACGTCGTTTTTATTTTATTATATTTCTAAAAATGAAAAATAAAGAAAATCATAAAAAATAGAATATTCATAAAAAATAGTGCCGCTTGTTGCATTAATTCCTAAAAATCATATATTAATTTTAGGCTACAAAACACAAATAAAAATGTAGATTTTTGACCCATCCCGGCCCCTGAGCTGGCCCCTGGGTGCCCCACTACGCGGGCCGGGACTTTTTTGACAGCGTTTTACTTTTTTTCATCATCTTTTGAGGTCATTTTTTCTGCCACGCCTAAAAAAATGTAAGGATCACGTCTGTCAAATTTCATTATTTTTTAACATCATTTTTATTTTATTATATTTTTTAAAGACGAAAAATAAAGAAAATCATTAAAAATATAATATTCATCAAAAAATAGTGCTGCTTGTTGCACTAATTCTTAAAAATCATATATTAATTTTAGAATACAAAACATAAATAAAAATGTAAATTTTTGACCCATCTCGGCCCCTGAACTGGCCCTTGGGCGCCCTACTACGCGGGTCGGGGGCTTTTTGACAGTGTTTTACTTTTTTTTCCATTTTTTGAGACCATTTTTTCTGGCATGTCTAGAAAAATGTAAGGATCGTGTCTGTAAAATTTCATTATTTTTTTACGTCGTTTTTATTTTATTATATATTTTAAAGATGAAAAATAAAGAAAATAATAAAAAATATAATATTCATCAAAACATGGTTCCGCTTGTTGCATTAATTCCTAAAAATCATATATTAATTTTAGAATGCAAAACTTAAATAAAAATGTAAATTTTTTACCCATCCCGACCCCTGAGTTGGCCCCTGGGCGCCTCATTACGCAGGTCGAGGACTTTTTCACAACGTTTTACTTTTTTTGAGGCCATTTTTTTCTGCATGCCTAGAAAAAAAGGTAAGGATCGTGTCTGCAAAATTTCATTATTTTTTTACGTCGATTTTATTTTATTATATTTGATAAATATGAAAAATAAAGAAAATCATAAAAAATAGAATATTAATCAAAAAATGGTGCCGCTTGTTGCATTAATTCCTAAAAATCATATATTAATTTTAGAATGCAAAATCTAAATAAAAATGTAAATTTTTGACCAATCCCGGTCCCTGAGCTGACCCTTGGGCGCCCTACTACGCGGGTCGGGAGCTTTTTGGCGATGTTTTACTTTTTTTTGTCATTTTTTGAGACCTTTTTTTGGCATGTCTAGAAAAATATAAGGATCATGTCTACAAAATTTCATTATTTTTTTACGTCGTTTTTATTTTATTATATTTTATAAATATGAAAAATAAATAAATAATAAAAAATAGAATATTCATCAAAAAATTGTACTGTTTATTGGATTAATTCTTAAAAATCATATATTAATTTTAGAATGCAAAACAAAAATATAAATATAAATTTTTTACCCGTCCTGGCCCCTGAGCTGGCCCTTGGGCTCCCTACTACGCGGGGCGGGGGGCTTTTCGACTGCGTTTTACTATTTTTGTCATTTTTAGGCCACTTTTTTCTGGCATGCCTAGAAAAAATGTATGGATTGTGTCTGTAAAATTTCGTTATATTTTGACGTCGTTTTTATTTTATTATATTTTATAAATGCAAAAAATAAAGAAAATCATAAAAAATAGAATATTCATCAAAAAATGGTGATGTTTGTTGGATTAATTCTTAAAAATCATATATTAACTTGATAATATAAAACATAGATGAAACTGTAAATTTTTTACCCATCCCGGCCCCTGAGCTGGCCCTTAGGCACCCTACTACGCGGGTCTGGGACTTTTTGATAGTGTTTTACTTTTTTTGTCATTTTTTGAGGCCATTTTTTTCTTGCATGCCTAGAAAAATGTAAGGATCATGTCTGTAAAATTTAACTATCTTTTGACGTCGTCTTTATTTTGTTATATTTTTTAAATACAAAGAATAAAGAAAATCATAAAAACAGAATATTCATCAAAAAATGGTGCCGCTTGTTGCATTAATTCAAAAAAAATCATATATTAATTTTAGAATGCAAAACAGAAATAAAAATGTAAATTTTTTACCCATCTTGACCCCTGAGCAGGCCGCAGGGCGCCCCACTACGCGTGCCAGGGGCTTTTTCCCAGCGTTTTACTTTTTTTGTCATTTTTTGAGCCCATTTTTTTTGGCATGCCTAGAAAAAAGGTAAGGACTGTGTCTGTAAAATTTCATTATTTTTTGACGTCGTTTTTACTTTATTATATTTCATAAATACGAAAAATAAAGAAAATCATAAAAAATAGAATATTCATCAAAAAATGGTGCCGCTTGTTGGATTAATTCCTAAATATCATATATTAATTTCAGAATATAAAATATGGATGAAAATGTAAATTTTTCATCCCGGTGCCTGAGCTCGCCCTTGGGTGCCCTTCCACGTGGGTCAAGGGCTTTTTGACAGTATTTTACTTTTCTGTCATTTTTTGAGACCATTTTTTTCTGACATGCCTAGAAAAATGTAAGGATCGTGTCTGCAAAATTTTATTATTTTTTGACGTCGTTTTATTTTATTATATTTTTAAAGATGAAAAATAAAGAAAATCATAAAAAATGCAATAGTCATAAAAAAATTGTGCCCATTATTGCATTAATTTCTAAAAATCATATATTAATTTTAGAATCTAAAACATAAATAAAAATGTAATTTTTTACTCATCTCGGCCCTTGAGATGGCCCTTGGGCGCCTTACTAATTGGGTCGTGGGCTTTTTGACAGTGTTTTACTTTTTTTCTCATTTTTGTGGCCATTATTTTTTGGCATGCCTAGAAAAATGTTAGGATCATGTCTGTAAAATTTCATTATTTTTGACGTCGTTTTTTATTTTATTATATTTTTTTAAGACGAAAAATAGAGAAAATCATAAAAAATAGAATATTCCTCAAAAAATGGTGCCGCTTGTTGCATTAATTCATAAAAATCATATATTAATTTTAGAATGCAAAACCTAAATAAAAATATAAATTTTTGACCCATTTCAGCCCCTAAGCGGGCCCTTGGGCGCCCACCTACGCAGGTCGGGAGCTTTTGACAGTGTTTTAGTTTTGTT